TAAACGGGCCTTGAGAAGTTTTGCGTTACAAATAATCCTGTTAGACGGCATTCTTCGGGTACGATTCCGCGAGCTCTCGCGAAAGCGATGCACACGATATAAAAATATTCAGAAGAGGGAAGAGGCGGATTTTTCGCCTCGCGAGCGGCGAATTTGGACGGGAATCCATCGTTTTCTTAACGCGAGCTTATCTCGTGCGCGCGCGGTACACGAGGAGGCAAGAAAGTAACGACCCGAGTGTCGTCGTCCTGGCGCCATTACACACAATGGAGCGGTGAAGGGTGGCGAGAGAGCCAGGACGCGAGGGGAAGCGAACGCGGAGGGGGGAGGGGGAGGGGGGAGAAGGAGAGAGAAGGGAGAGGCGAAAAGAGCGACGAAGACGGCGGAGAAAAAGAGAACCGAGAAACATGGGGTCCAGGGTCGATCCTGCATACGGTCAGCACCGGTCAGCAAGGGCACCGTGCCAAGGAACTGCAGACGAGTCTTAAGCTTCATGCACAATGGATCCCGCCGCCTGCGCATGACGGCACAGCATTCATCCTTTCACGCAAATTCGTCGGGCTCCTTACGACGATCCTATCGTAGAGAATAATAGCTCTGACGTAATACGTTATTACGACAGAATTTATGAAACGCCGTCTGGTAATGCGGAGATTCAACGCATCGGAGACTGGCCGATTATAAGCCGCTAAAATCTTCCCGCGTCTTCATAGAAGAATATTTAATTTTTCCCTCTCGACTTTCAATAGCGGCAGATATATACAGAAAGCTTATTACTCGAAAATTAATTTGCGTCTCTCAAGTTTTAACTTTCCATCCTGACGATCGTATTACGTAAAAAATACGAGCAAAATATCGTTCGCAAAATATCGCAAATTTCCTTCCCTCCCCCCCCCCCCCCGTGGCCGATCCGAACCGCCGCGCAATAACGCGAAACCGCGAACCATCTTTGTAAATCGACACCTTACATCTTACGAACACGTCGAGCACGGAATGTCCCCGCGAGGGGACTGCATAATGCGCGCGCGAAACGTGCGTTATCCCGCGCGAATCTCGAATCTCGTTGTAGTGATCGCGTCATCATTCCGACGACTAATAGGAGTCGATAAGGGAAACACCCGTAAGAGGAGAAAACGTCGCCACGAGCCAGAGGCGGAAAGGAGAAGCGGCTCCGAACTTTTGTCGGCGAGCATACCCGCGCGGCGCGTATGCGTGGTCGTGGGACGACCGGGGCCCTTCGGGGGCAAAAGATACAAAACGTCGGGCACCGGGCGAACCAGGCAGGGCGATGCACACTATACAGCCGGCCGGCCGGTCGCTCGCTCGGGCGAACAAGCTGGCCGGTCCGAGCGAGCATGACGCCAGTCCGCCCGCCGAAGCGTCGCTCGACGCGCGCCATTCGCCGCCCCGACGCGAGACTCGCAAGTTCCCGGTGGAAATTTCTTCATCCTCTGCGAACCGACCGACATCCCCCGCTCGACCGATCCGCGGAGGAGGACGTGGGAGCTTTCGCTCTGGACTGGAACAGGTAAAGTGTTAAATGAAAGACTCGAGACGCCACAGGTTCCCTCGTCTCTGGGGTGCCATCGAATAGCTCTGTTCGACACATTTGTTCGTTGTAGTTAAAGATTCGGAGGTAGAAAGGATGGAAGGCGACCCGTCCGGAGACCCGTCGTAGTGAATATTCCGAAAATCTATTCAGCGGAACTATTCTCCGTAACTTAAGCTTGAGGATATTACGCTTTGTTTGCTTGTATGCATTTTTGACGAAGTGTACGTTCTCGCTTTTATATCGATAAAAGAATTGTATAAAAGAAGAAATATCTTTTTTTTCCACCTGTTCAACATATTCAATAATTATATTCAAAAAAAAAAAGAAGAAGGTAAAAAAACCTCGAGAGTGACGAGTTGAAATCTCTCTGGCTCTCTGAAATCTTTCTGTAAGAACTTGGTATCGCTTGTTTAACGACGAATTGTCCTTGGCAATACGATGAGCAAGCGCGTGCCTTTCCTTTTCGCAATGCGCTTCGACGTACCTCGCGCGATCATGTTGTCGCGCTGTATCGCAACACGCGTGGCGAAAGATTCAGAATTCGACAGAGTGGCCCGTCCCACGCGAGGGAATGCCCTCGATCTGATGTATTCCCGCGAATACAAATCGAGATTTCCGCGACCTGGAAGAGATAAGAGATATCGCGACAATGATTTTGGGAGAATGCGAGAAGCGCGCTACATCATCCTTTTGGGACCTGTCTGTTGAAATAACGAAGGCGTATTTTCGTTTCCACCAAGAAAACCGCGATCCAATGGCGATTGCCTCGAATTTCATTCGTACATCGTCCACCTCGGCGGAATCCTACCGCTTCTTCGCCGCAACGCTACGTGAATCGAACCTCGGCGTGACCTGTATCTGTTTGCGCTCGTCCGTGTCGACATGTCGATGAGAATTTGTACGCCTCCTCTGGCTCGTCTTCCAGCAAGAGAGCCTCGTATTAGAAAATTGGAAAGTAATAGAAAATACTACAGTGCGCGCCCTCCGTTTCTTTGCTTTTCTACGACCTTTAGAAATTCCTGCGATGGCGCGCCGAGAAATGTAGCCGTTCGGTCAATTGCGCAGCTCGAAGCCTCGAAATTACTGAGAAACCGAAACGTCGGCCGACTGGTTATTTTTAAAAATTGAGAAATGTAAGAAGGAACGGTCAGAGAAATATCAACGTTGCTGGATGCTTCTCATGCAACGACATTTCTGTGCCGAACGACGCGAATTTAAATCGAGAAGATATTTACGCGCTGAATCTGTGAAATAAATCCTGGCTTTCATTTTACTGATCAAATAATATCAATTGGTGCTGTTTAATATAAATGCGGGGTAAATACTCAACTGAATGAACAATGCAGTTACTCGTATAAATTGATAGCGCGTCCCTGTTATTATTATTATTATTTATTATTACTTCGTGCAGTGCAAATAATAAACAAATTCCTGCGATAACTATGTTGTTATTTCAACAACAATTGTTTGCATCGCGTTCCACTTTATCGCATTACCTTCCGCCGTATTACATGAGGTCGAGTATATTCCGCGCCTCTCGCTTCGCCTCTCAAGCCGCCACAAATCCGACCGTAAGAGCCACTAAAACGTAGCGGTTTTGGAACACGCGACGAATGCAAAATGGCAGACGAGGAGATCGGCTAGGCGGTAATCCCCGTCCTGCCTGCCTCGTTTAGGCTCTCACTGAGAAATTTCAATAGTTGAAAAGTTTGCGTACAACCTCTCGCAATCACAACTGACACAAAATCACCGGCTGAAATTTCGATATGACTAAATGGACCACCTAATTCGGTCACCAATGCGCCTCACCGCGTTTCTCTATTTCTCCGCATTTACATGGGATTTGTTGTCACCTTCATCAGTTATCGTGAAATTATATATATATATATATATATATATATATATATATTATATATATATATTGATTTTTTTAGCATCCAGTCGAGACTCGAAGCTTTATGATTTGAAAAATGAACATTCACGAACGTTATCACTGGATCAGACACGGCTATATTCAGCGCCAAATGTGGGACATAGGTGAATACACCTGTGATCTCGCTGAGATTCGAGGAGAAAGTCGAGTCGAACTTAGGGTCGCCTTTCTACGCAAATATGTGTTTGTTATATTATTGCCCGGCTTGCGCTGAGTGTCACGGAGTATAATCTGTCGCTTGACGCGCGGAAACGCGAATGTTGTCTGTCTCGTTAATGAAGCACGCGGTGAACGAAGGGGGGCTTCTGATATCGCAGCGCGATAAACGTTTCGTGTACATTTTGTTTGCACCCGCAGGCTAGATTGGCGGATCTCGACACGCCGAGACGGCTGGAGAATCTTCAAAAACTCGAGGAACTCAAGAGACACCTGATGGATCTCGAGAAGCAGGTGAGATACACGCGTTTATCGCGTGAACCGCGTATCTCGCGCGTTCCTCCAGAGAGAGTGCCTCGAATTATTCACGTGCGGCATAAAGGGCTCAATGTAATATCGATAGCTTAGAGAAAAAGCGGGCGATGACAGCTTAATCCGTCCTTTGAAAATCCGAAGCGTTAATTTCGATAAAATTAAAAAGAATCAAAATTATAATTTCCTCAGGTTTCCAAAGAATTAATTAAAATCGCCGGTATTAATAATATCAGATTTTTTCAAATTTATTTTATTGATTCTTAATGATGTTCAGCGACGATGTTCAGAATTGAAATATTGACTAATTTTTCTAGCGATGATAAACATCTGAATAAGAAATACTCCAAGTTTAATTATGTTTAATTTTCCTTGAAAAAAAAAAAAAAGTACGAGAAGAGCAAGCCTCTCGTGAACCTCGTGGACAACATGGTGAAGCTGGGATCTTTGTATAATCGTAACACTGCCAACGGGACCAGCAATGTTTCCGGTTCTCGCTACGACCTGATGCATGAGAACGCGAGGGATCACCGAGATCGTTTGGAATTTAATCAAAGAGTACAAGAGCAACGATTGTTGGCTGAGGAGCGCAGGGATTGGGACAGACTTAGTCCCGATCATGGACAGCTACAGGTAATTTCTTTGATCTTACTAAAAGGTCCAAGCGTCTAACATTTTAGTTCATGCAAATGACGAAAATAATTGCTTAATTGGAATTGTAGGAATTTTTTATCTTCACGTTCGAAGCATCTTCTCTTAAAAAATGCGAAAATTAAAATTTATAATCCTCTAAACGGAACACTTCAATTATCAAAGAAGATTCTCTGTCTTCTTAATTTTTGCGCCAAATGTCGTTCATAATGTATGTTTTACTCGTTACTCCATTTTCTGTCTTTTACATTTCGTATTATTACATTCCTTCCGCGATGTAATGCCTCATGCTAGAAAGCGTGAGATGCATCACGCTTTCAGACATGGAATTCTTTCTTGACCAATAAAAGCAGTTCCTGATCTTCCGCGTGCTGTAAGCGACGTCTACGGTGGACAGGTTGTAAAAGACCGATCGGAAAAAGAGTACGTGCAAAAATTAAGAATTACCCTCACAGACAGAACCACAAGAGAGACCGAAGTCGGACAGACACTTATGATCCCTCGTAAATTCCGTGAAGAGCTCACTTTACCGAGAGATATACTTTCTGAACGAGTCAAGTCTCTACGGGCAATGTCCACTTAGTATCTTACGTCTCGTTTCCTTCTTATCTACCAAGTCCTCGAGAATTTTCGATAATTACACGGGGAATTTGCCGTTTAAATAAAAACTTAGTCGAGAAGCATGTGTCTTTAAAATAACAAAATTCTAAAGACTATATTTTTATTATATTTATATTTTTATGCAAATGCATTCTCATTTCAACGACATTGTGACGAATAAAAAAATGAAAATAAAAATAATGAAGAAAATATCTCAGATCCTTCATTTTTTAGTGATTTGATTAAATAATTTAGTGAGTTTCAAAAAAAATTTAAATAATATCTACATAAAATAGTTAGCGCATTAAATTATATATTATTAATAGAGATAAAACGAAAAGAAAATTGTCTGTTGGCTAAAATAGTCTCTTTGACCAGAATGATCGAGAAAAGACGAGAATATTTTTCACATATTATTCGTGAAAGAATTCTATTCACGGACAAGAATAGAGACGGAGAACAGACAGAGAGAACGGAGATTCGCGTTGTTCTAGAATTAACGATTCGAATGGCGGATCTCCCTTTTCCCGAGATTTGCTTCGGTTGAAATGCAACACTTAGCCTGTCCTTTGAACAGTGAAACTTGAAGGTTTCGTAGTTCACTCGATATCCTTCTTGTCGCAGGCCAAAGTACAGCAGCTCTACAAACTCGATCGACTACTCCAGGAGGAATCTGGCACGCTCCATAGTCTCCAACAAGACAAGGTTGGTATCAACATAACAACAGTCACCTGGAATGAAGTACTTTCCTCTCTCTCTCTCTCTCTCTCTCTCTCTCTCTCTCTCTCTCTCTCTCTCTCTCTCTCTCTCTCTCTCTCTCTCTCTCTCTCTCTCTCTCTCTCTCTCTCTCTCTCTCTCTCTCTCTCTCTCTCTCTCTCTCTCTCTCTCTCTCTCACACACACACACACACACACACACACACACACACACACACACACACACACAAATGCAATTAACATAATGACTTCTGTCCAAATTAATAAATAAATGTAAAATTTCGAATTTCTTTTTGGAATAATGCACTCTACGACTCTTTCTTCAAAGATACTTTTATATTGAACTTGTCTTCTGGAAGTGCTCCGATTGCAATCTCTCACAAGAAGACATTTCAATATGAGACCTATTGTATCTACGGCTTAGAGGAGAACCATAACGAGAGTTTCATTATTTGTCTGGAACTGTGACGGAACGTCCTAATATAACAATAAAACTGCAAAATGACAACCGAGTTGGCCTTAATTCCGAGATATAGAAATCTACTGTATCGTGTTACACGCCTGGCTGATTTGAACGTTTGCAGGAAATACTGGAGAAGGCTTTGGGCGGGTTGCGGCATAAACTGCAAGGTAGCAGAAGCAATTTGGCCGAAGCCGAACGATATCGGAAGCAGCAACTCCTGTTGGAGCGCGAGCTGAGCAGAGTGAGAATACTGCTCGCTCATAACTCGAAGGTAGATAATTTCGGAAAATGTACCCGACACACCGTCGCTAACGCGCGTTTCTGTCCTCCTATGCCCCGATCGACTCGGACGCGCGAGTCTATTATTAAAAACGATGCGGACTGATTGGCAGAAAAACAAGTAAATTGTGTGTCAATCCGGATTTCAAAACGCGAATAATTGCTGCTCGTCATTCTCCATATGTTTTTTTTTTTTAACGTCGTGAACCATGCTGAATATATTTCTGCTAATAAGAGGTTTTTTTCTTATAATCCGAATATTTACTTGTTTATTAATGAATATTTCGAGACGAACGCTTTGCTTTCACCGAGTCTTTTATTATTCTTCATTTTTTTATTATTCTTTACAACTTTGTGAATTTACGATATCGTATAAATATAATGGTAACACGAGGAGATAATAGCACAAGAGAATTTAAATGACGAGAGTAGATCGCATTACGTATCGCAAAATTAAAGTCTCGATTCACTGTTTTTCCAGGTAAAACCGGTATTCTTCCAGGTAAATTGCATTATTCACAACATAATAGTTCATAAACCTTTCAGTTCCGTTGTTCGCCGTTTAGTTGTCATTCTCGTCGTGAGACGATCATACAAAGTAGCACATTTTCATCCTGAAACAGCTCGCGACTCTCTCACGTGCTTTACAGAAACTCGAGGAAACGGTGGCCGAAAATGCGAGATTGGAGCAGGATTTGGTGGTATTGAGACAAAAGGTTCAAGCGTCCAGAAGATATGCCGGTAACATCGCGAGGGACACCTCGAGCACGACCGCACCTCTGGAAGCGGAATTACGACGAGTGCAACAACTCGTCGGCGATCTGCAGAGACAGAGGAAGGAACTGAGCATTCAAGTTCGCCAACTGACGGAGAAATCTCACAGTTTGGTGCAGCAAATTCGTCCGCAGCCACCGCACGGTGAGACTATCAATATAAAGTGTGAATCGTTCAAAATTCCTAAACTTTACGATCAACACTGAGTCAAGAACTATAAAGTACACATATTGCAATAAAATTGTCTTTATTAAACAAAATTTATTATTTTATCTAAGTAAATTGATATCTAAAAAAAACTTCTTTCAAGCGTAAATAAATTTTATTACCTAATTGAAATTTCTACTTTTTCTTAAAAAGACAAAAATGGATTTAAAAGACGCATTTTGTTCTTATAGCTCCACAGGTACATCACTCGAAGAAACGTACGCAAAATTCCTGGTTAGAAACCGATTTGGATTCCGGAATAACTCTAGATCACGGTCTAGACTCGCCGTCGAGTCCGTCTCTATCCATCTCACCTCCGAACAAACAAAATGATAGCTCTCATCAACGATACAGTTCTCCTACACAGTACAAGGACTTATCTCCATTAAATCGTCCACATAATCAGCAATCCTTTGGACAACCCTCGCAAAATCACATATCGGCTCTCTCACCACAACTGCGCGAACAGATTCAACAACACCAATTAAAGCAACAATTATTAAAGGATCAAATGCAAGGCAAGGGTAGCACGATTCAAGTGGCGCCTCTGTACGTTAATACGGATTCAAGAGTAGCAGGTAATATTCTCTCGTTATATTATACAAAATTATTATATTATATTGATATTAACAGATATTCACGTCATATCCACCTATGTAAATAGTAACGAATCATTAGCATTAGTAATTACAAGATAGAATTCTATCACGAGGTACTCAAATATCGATTTATATTTTTAATTCTAGAGGATTACGTCACCGACACGAGCAAGCATAACGGAAATGTGTTGAATGGCACGCCAAATCCTGCTCCGGAATACATCCCACCGCCGCCGCCTCCTTTAAGCGAGGAGGCATTGTTGTTGAACGATAATTATAGACAAAACGAGGACAACAAATTCGCTGGTAAGTCGCCCGTTCCGCCACGGAAATATTAAGCTTAACACATGACGAAAATTTCATTCTCATTATTCTCTTTCGTTGTTAAGGATTAATGCACGGTCGCGAGAAGCAAGAGATCAAGACGGTGCGCATAGTGAAACGCGAATCGGAAAGGCGGCAAAGGGACCGTGGCGACAGAACCGGCAATATCGGAATTCCTTTGATGAACGGTCTGCAAGCACCGGGTGGAGCAAAAAGACTGTGCGACGATGATTTCGGAGGTTCCCAAAAATTCGAAGTGAGTAAAAAAATAACGATTTTTTTTGTAATTATTTTATCGTCAGTTATGTGCGTCTTAAAATAGCTAAATCTAATACAAATGGATTGAAATAGGAACATCTATTTTATTAATGTAAATTGTGCTAATATAGACCTTGTAACATTTAGAAAGCTCAGCTGGGCAGAGTGGTAGAAGAATCGCCAATCGTTCACGCACAGAGCACCGTTCAGCTGTCCGAACTGGATGACGTTCAATTCCAAAGGAGCATGTCTCTGCCACGCGGTTTCGGTGGGCAAAAACAACACTCCGGGGTACACTATGGACCCGTGATGCCTCCACCGCGCAGCGACAGCATGCACGCTCTGAAGAGCATGATGGCGCGTCGACATAAAATCAGGGTAAGTTTTGCAGGTGTAACTCGCGATGTCTGAAACTTTCAGGCATCGCAAGCAACAATTTCAGGTTCACCCCGTAGACCAAAACTACCCCGTGTTCGTTGGCATATATTTTTTTGGCGGATATTGTCAATGATTTTATTTCTACCCCGATATTCCCCCCCCCCGCAGCTGTCTTGCCCGCCCGTTTTTGTTAATCCCATTCGATTCCCCGGCATTTTACAATTTCTTTTTGACGCTCCATCGCAGTTCGAAAGTCACGACGGCAGCTCGGATAGTACTCTGTCACCGTATACGGACAGTCCTACATCCAGCTCTCACGTGCCGATGAGTTCGCCCAACTACTCCACCGCCTCGTCGTATAGTCCATGCCAGAGCCAGAATTATCCGTCGCAAGTGACGACGGTAGCTGCGCAGCCTCACTATCACAACTACTCGCTCGGATCGTACAGGCAATACGAGAAAATCGGCACTCTCGCGGATGCCATGAGCCCCGAATTAACGTCGCCGACTAATGTCGGCATACACGAGAGACCAGTCGCTGCGACGACGGCGAACGCAAATCAGTCAGAATCGCCGCAATTATCGCCTGTATTCAAGAGCGAGGCTGCCAAACAGATTATCAAAGAGATGACAGAAAAGAGGGTGGAGGGTCCGAGACGAAGGCAGATTCCTCGCGAGAAAAGACGGCATTACACCGTGTCTAGTAGCAAACCGGTGCTCGACCTAGAGGACACTTTCTCGAAGATGGTATTTTTGTTTCATTCAATTTTCGTTCTTTCTCTCTCTTTCTCACTTCCCTGTCTACCTATCTCTCACTTCGTCACTCATTTTCAAATCGTCGCTTTGCTGTGCCGTGCCGCTGCCTATCGCGGCGGTTTCGAAGATCTCGCGTTCATAATTGACAAAAAATTCTTGGCAATTTCTAGGGTATGGGCAGAGCCAGGGATGATTTAGATATGGAAAGAGCGCTCAGACCCAGGATAAACGCCCCTGACGTGGTACGATCGACATTAAGCCACAAGGAATTGAAGTATAACGAGAGTACTATAGATCAGTTGCTAGGCACGCCTAATAAGATTGTCATTCCCGAGCGATATATTCCTGAACAGGTACTTGTAAATTTGTATTTATTAATTTTTTCAAACTTACACGCAAAAATTGATTTAGTAACACATCACTTTTAAAATAGCAATTGGAAATTGAGGAAAACACGTTATTGGAAATTGTTTATATGTGCTCTCTGAAATTATATTTAATTTTATATATATAAAATACTTTTCTCTTCTATAAAAATTAAATAAAACTTAAATATATATTATATATATGTTGTATACATTTTTCAGACGCCGGAGTTAACAGCGGAAGAACAGGAGCAACGCTTAAAAAAAGCAGAAGCAATCAGGAAAATGCTTTCGGAAACAACCGTGACCGCACCGGAAGGAGGTGGTACGCAACATTTATTTTTTTCTTTACTTCTAATTAATATTTCCTACGTAATGATGGCAATTATAAAGTATCTTTATAAATCATTACAGATGATGATTCTAACGTAGAAAAATCAGACACCTTGAAACGCAAAGTGGTGGAAGAAAAACGACAGAGGGAGCACATTCTCCAGCTTAATCAGATATTGGCAAAGCAAGTGATGGAGAAAAGCAAAATGGTAGCGGGTACGTACCGATGATACTTCAAATACAGTCTCTGCATGATCGTTATCGTTTATACATATAGCTGCGGCAGCATGCTCATTTTGTTTAGCTTTCAGAAAGCAAAGAATTTATTTCTTTGTCACACACGATCTACGATCGGTGCAGTTTTCTTTATGTCACAGTTATAATGATTTTTTTCCTACCGCTTGTGTTTCGCAATGTTTTTAATATTTGACTGATTTAAATTATATTCATATGTTTATCGTAATCTCCTCACAGACGCGAACACGCATGTATTACTTGAGTTATATATTATTTTATGATTTTGTCGATTATTTTTATTCGGAGGCAACGAACATAGTTACGTCTTAGGGAATTTTTGGATTGTTGTTTGGATTGTTCTGTGCTTGTGTGTAGGTAACCAGGCACATTGACTGACATGCTTACTCCATCCCTCCTTATAGGACACGCACGTCACGTTATCATTTTCAGGTTTTGTTTTTTTCATTTTTTTTTTCATCTTTTTCCTTTTTTTGATTTCCTACTTTTTGTTGTCTCCCGATCAAAGCTATGCAGATATATTTGCCATATTATTTCTGTCGATGTACGTTTATTGAAATAACTATTGCAAACGACAAATAATTCATATAAGAAGAGAAAGATAAATAAGATAAGAAAACATGACAAAAACATGACAACAAAAGTTAAAGATAACAAGGCTTCACTTTCAATAAACGTATTGATTTGCGATATTAATAATGTTAATCTATAATTTACAATTATTCTATCATATTTTATTCATCAATAGTAAAAGCTCTGGCGACGCTTCCTCTGAAAACTGAGTCGAGCTTAGATGATGATGACCTCTCGCCTGTGGCTCCTTTACCACTTTATCAACAAAGAGAGAATTATTACTCCTAAGCGTCGTTCCAGAAGCACATATAGAAGCACAAAACTACTGCCAATATGAAGAACAAGAAAGAGAAGAAACGGGAAATGCAAGAGAAACTCGTTCTCCTCTTAGCTAAACTAAATTAAGAAACGCGCGAAAATTCGTGCAATATAACTGGAAAAGTACTTTTTATCCGCTGATTTACACTGATTTCATTGTAAATAACCATCGACTAAGTAAAATGATAATAAGTAGTTGTCATTACTCACGTTAACAATAAGAATTCGTAATATCCAAGTACACACGAAGAAACATATGAAAAAAGCGTAGATGGCGGCTGCAAGGCAAAAAAAAAAGGATTGCCAAGCACGTTATCAGACGAAACTCACGTCATTTTCTCCAATTAAGCGCGAAATCGAGCAACAATCGCGACTTACTGTCATTTTTTACCGATCCCGACGTCCAGCGTTAACGCAATGATAACAATGAAAATTTGCTGGACGCCGATTTTCTTATCCGCGCGACGGACCTAATGCACTTCCGGGTGATACTCCGGCTTTGAGAGAAACCTTTTTACCACGTCTCTTCGCAACTCGAAAGTTTTTCTTTTTCGAAAAAGTTTTCAAATCGAAACGCGTAATTTGTAAGCACAAGAGACTGTGAATCTATTCGCAACTGAGAATCTGATTTGGAGATGTCGTTACGTATATACTCTCCCGTACTTTACGTACACAATCATTTTCACGAAGCGAATTTTTATATATCGACAAGCGAGCGGCGATGAAACCCTCATCGACGTGAGGTATTATTAGATTTAACGGCGTAGCAGGCTCTTCATTTTAGCGAAAACAAGGATATGTAATCGGTTACGGTGTGTCATACATACAACGCGTCGTGACCGTAAGAAAAGAAATATCATAAAAAAAGGTCGAAAACGCGCTAAAATATCGAGCCTCCGAAATTTTATTTGGCAAAAAATTCAGCGAAGATGATCGCGTGCATGTGAGAATTACCGTGTAAATGTAGATTTTAAGGAACGCATGATATATACGCTTCTGAAGCGCCCGTTGCTACTAGCATTATATACACAGGATTTTTCACGGGCCATTATAGTATGGCGTTTTAATGTTTAGAAACAGTCGTCACACACAGTCATAAGGGAAGAGTGCCAATTTCCTATCACGATGGCGAACGATGAGATAATCGTCAATTACAATCGTCTCGTATTGATTGATGCAGGATAGCAATGGAGTATTTATTGTAGTAGTAAACATCATACGCGGTGAATATCTTGTATTAAATTTAGTTTGGTCCGATTTCACCCGTATCGACATGTT